ACTCACAGTCGGGTAAGGCCATTTCGAATGAGATTGCCACCATGCTTTGAGAACAGAGGTGGTATCTCCTGGTAATTTTCCAGCTCTCCTCTTCCTTAGTATCTCCTCTCTTATGTCTACTATCTTCTCCTTGTAACCCTTTTCACCAAACAAAGCTTCCACATTGTTAGATCATTTCGTGTAAAAAGTCGAAATCTTGAAACTTCTTGCGTTGCAAATAGTTCATCAATCCATAAACAACTACTTGATTCAGAAACGATAAGTATTGGGTCTTATGGAAGATCAAAGTCAGAGAAGAACAAGTTCTTGATTAGTTTTTGCATATTTTACCTGTTTGAGTTCATGTTTGAGTTCTTGTCTAACTCGTTCCATTAAGGATCTCTCACTCTCAGTAGGAATCAGAGGACCAAACCCCAACACATCTAAGCTTCCATCGAACAAATTAGCATCGCTCTCTACTTGTTCATCTTCATCATCCGACATTGTTGCTCCCATTCCTTCACCAGGAGACACTCCTATCTCACCAACAACAAACACATCGTTTAGCGAAACAAAAATCGCTAAAATGTAACAAAACATTCCTAGAGGATTCCTAAATATTCATAAGATTCAAAAACCAAAATGTCTCACCTGTTAAACTTTGAAGAGACTGCTCAATCTCCCAGCAAGCCATCACAGCTTCCATGGCATGAACACGCACGTGTTGTTGCAATTGCTCTTTGAATGAACACAGAAGTAACACATAATGCGTCTGTGTTATATAAACAAACACAAAACATGAAGATCAATAAACACACAATAATGTACATGACAAAGAATAAATTCTTGAAATTGTACCATACTAGACATGCCAAACTTATTTGTCTTGGAACCAATCAATCTAAATGTACCTTCTTGTCTACTATAGACACATAAATTCCAGATCACTGTCTCTGTAAACTACGATTCTTGTTTCAAAAAATTTCTTATAACCATCACCATTATTGGAGTATTTCATAAGCTCTCTTTCTCTGGTCCCACAAGTCTAAGATAATGTAAAAATTACATGATCATTTTAATCTCACCATTATTGTATAAGAAATGCTAAAATCCAAATTCGTAAAATTGAGTCGGTGCAAAAATGCTTCAAATTTAAAAAAAAAAAAACATTAGAGAGAAATGGAATAAATTTGAAAGAACAAAATTAGAGAGAAATTAGTGGTTACCATGAACTGGTCAAGCTCTTTGTCGTCGCCGACGAGTCCTTGACCGGCGCCTAAAGCGGAGTATTTAGCGACGACGTGTTGCGACTGAGCAAGCTGAGCGTCGATCCTCGGAAGCTGATCGACCGGCGTAGCGATCCTTAGACACGCGACGTGCGCCGACAAAAGCTGCTCATAGAGAGGATGCGAGAGGATCTCCGCCTTGTGCCTCGCATTCTGCCAGCTCACAACTCCTTCCGCCGCCGTCGCTCCTCCGCCGTCGTTTTTGTTATCCCCGCTTTTCATCTCACCGCCGATCACCGGCTCAGCTCCTCCGGTGACATCGTCGATGACGTCTCCGACGACTGCTGTACCGGAACCGTTGTTGTCGTTGGTTCCGGTTCGTTGGAGGAAAGAGGAGGAGCGTGAAAGCCACTGATTAGCGGCGGCTGCAGCGGCGGAGGAAGGTGAATCGGAGCTGCTCGCGGCGGTTGTGTTTGCGGTTGCTGTGTGGAGGTTTAGGAAATTGTTATCGGAGCGAAGTAAAGCCGTGTTGAGCCAGTTAGGAGGCGTTGCTTCCTGGAAATGTTGTTGCT